ATATATATATATATATATATATATATATATATATATATATATAGTGAATTTCTAATTTGATTATTGATCATGAATTTTACGAATTAAAAAAAAAGATATGAGAGATAATCTTGAAGATAGTTATTAGATGATATACTCACTTAATCATAGCTAAAATAAAGAAAGCAATCACTAAAGTGAAGAAGGAAACGGTATATCCAATTTTTGAGATAATCTTCACTATTGGAAAAAATTTCTGTAAGATAAAAATAACAATATATAATTAAAAGATTTATTAGCACTTACAAAGATAATGTTTGACTTTATGAAGCATACAGGAAATTAATTGAACAATTTAATCAATAAAGCGCTAATTTCAATTAAAATTAACAGTACTAATATTGATCATAATTGAATCTGCATAAAATTCATCAAAAATAATTTTATTTCTGTTTTATAAGTATTAATAGCAATATTAATGAAATATTAATAGCATTTTATATTCATATTATTTTATATAATTCTAGAAAATAGTAAAAATGTAGTAGTATTTAATCATTGATTTCTATTTTTTAAAAAATATTTGATGTCACTCATAATTTCCATCGATTTTCAACTTTTGAAGAAATATCTTCTGCTTTTCCATAAAGTATTTTCTTTTTTTTTTTATGCATGATAATGCAATAAATTATTTTTAACATTTTAACATTTTTAATATTTATAATCGATATATTTTTTTATTCTAATTAAAATATTTTTCTCATAAACTCATTAAATTAAATTTATTATGCATTTGTGATTATTCAAAATTTTCTTAATTATATTTCAATACATTTTCATTTTCGAATATTTACCTTAATGAGAATATCATTGTTTCTCTGTTCATTTTCAGGCAAGTCCACCAGAATAGTTACAAATGTGTTTCTATAGCATTGGCTGTAATTACTCCAAGTATTGTTGATATTGCTATTCCATAACCATTGTCCGTTCATCATACATTGTCTGGAGGCATTTGCCTGATAATCCAAATATGGCATTCAAAAGAAAAATATTTAAATATATATGAAAAAATATATATATAAATATAAATATATATAAAAAATTTAAGAATACAAATATATTCAAACAAATATATAAAAAACATTTTAATAAAAATTCATCAACGTACAATTTCAATAATTAAATAAAAATAAAAAAATTAAATTATTCAAAAAATTTTCTATATAATTTCAAATATTGAAATTTTAATTTTATTTATATATATATTAATTATTAAAAAATCAAAATGAGAATAATTAATTAATAAATTAATTTTATTAATTACGTGTGTATTAAATCCTGCGATGTAAGAAGGACAAGATAAAATGGCCAACTCTCCAGGTGCCGTTGATGGCCAACATAATATCTTGTCCCAAATTTCCGGACACCATCCTATTTTTTTTAGAAAATTTACTTTTATTTGTTCTTTTATATTAAAAAAATTTTTATTACACATTTTAGCATCTCATGTGCAAAAAAAAGAATGAATCATTGAATCAGAAACATAATATAGATACGATTATAGATTGAAGAAAAATTTTCAAAATTTATCTGACATTTTAATTGACATTTAATTAGTTATGATGTAAGAAATATTACAATGTGAAAATAGATTTATTGCTTTCGAAGTTCGAATAAAAAAAATCAATCATATGTACAAAATTTAAAATATGAATTAAAAATAATTTGAGGACATTTTGACAAAATAAATAATAAAAAATTTAACATTGTATTTCAATACATATATGATATGTTGATTAATTGAAAAATAAATATATTGTATAAAAATGTTGTTTATTTATTGTACTATATTAATATTTAAATTTTTAGAAATATTTTTATTGTGAAGAATTAAAACAAAAAAGCGATTATTAAAATAGAAATTAATAGATTTTAACCTTATTACTTTTCATCAAAGAAAAACAGCTAACAGACTAGCTTGGCTAATTGAATCGATTTTTCATTAAGTGATCAGTGTTAATATATGCTTTTCGATATATGATGTTTAGTAATTTAATTATTATGTCGCTTTCTTTCAATCAATTATTCACTCATATTTTCTGTTTTTATTAAATACTTATTTTATTTAAAAACTCGAAATATGCTTGTTAATTAATTAAATATATTTAAATATTTATAAAAATTTTCCTTTTCTTCTCAATAATCATATTAAAAGAAATATGAATGAAAAAATTCCACTATAATATAAATATTATCAATAAATTATCAATAAATTATCAATAAATTATCAATAAATTATCAATAATCTATTCATTTGAAACTAACAAAAAAAATATAAAAATGTTTAAAATTTTGAAATTAGTAAAATTGTAAAATGAGTCTCTTATTAAAATAAAAAAAAATATTAATTATGTTGTGTAATAATGAGTACAATGAAAAAAGGAAAGTTATTATGAATAAAGAAATAAAAATGCATAAAACATTATAAAAATATCATGCAATATATAAAACTATATCGAAAATATGAAATTTGTAATATGAATCTTTTTTGAGAAAATTAAATTTGAAATTCAACAAATAGAATAAAAGATCGCAATGATATATCAAGTTTTCAATATCAAAAAAGTAATCCATTTCCTTTCTATTTTTATCTCTTTTTCATGAACACATATACAAAATTCTTAATAATTCTTAATAATTTTATATAAATTAAAAATTAGAATTTCTTTAGAATATATTTAGTTTTTTTTTATTAATCATATTGTTATTTTATTTATACATCACTATGTATTTAACTTAAGATTAAAATCTATATTTTAAAATCTATATTATATTATATTATATTTGCATTATAATCAAAATTTTTTTTTTTGGTGAAATTATTTGTTTTTATTGTTATAAAAATGGATAGTATTATTCTTTATCAATTTATTAATTTTTATAGTATAGTAGTTTTTAAAATAATTTATTGTAATATAGTTTATATTAACTAATTTTTACAATATTTCATTTGATAAATGGAAAAATTCGTATCATTATTGAAATTAAAGTTATGATCTCATGACTTAGAAAATCGACACGAGCTGCATATTCTTGCTTACAAAAATAGGAATCCATTAGGTTTCGAATGTGTGCAGAGGGAAATCATATTTAAACATTTGCATGCGCGTTCGTGTGGTCGAGTTTATTGCTTGCATTTTCTGAAATACTATCATTTTTAATTTATTTGTCATCCTTATTTTCCTAATTATATTGATAAACAGAAATTGTATATCATGTTTAAATTTTAGTTTTATCATTCATCTATAATCATTCTTATAACTATTTTCCATATAAAAAAATTGAATATTGGAGAATAAAAAAATTTTAAAAAAATTATGTTACTTCTTTTATTTTATGAGAAAAAAATATTATGAATAAAAGAAATCATTAAATGTACGAGGTTAAATTGTTCTTTTAAAAAATAAAAAAATTGATATATCAAGCTATTTTCATTCATCTTGTTAAATTTTAATTGATTAAAATATATATGAATTGTATTTAATTACGATTTAAAAATAGAGATTTACAATCGATTATGTTATTTTATCAAATTACAAATAAATAAAATATATGGAATAAGATAAACACTATTTATTAAGATAAACACTATAAGGCTCAGTCGTTAAGAAATAAGAACATTAAGCTTCTATTTCTTGCGTTTATCGCGTTTGATAAATTATTCATTAAAATTGAGTTATAGGAAATCCATGAAATTGTGAAATCCCTTGTACAAAGTCCATAAAGATGAATCAGGAGTGGTTTCATGCGAATGATTAATTATAGAATTGATTTCGATTCGTTATTAGACAAGCTCTCCAAATTGGATATAATTGAAATAGTATCTCCTGATATCTATTATATAATTTGTATAATGAAAAACAGGATATATTATTAAATGAAAAAATGTTTGAAGTAATGTTTAAAGTAAGAGAATATTTGATTTAAAAAGATTATCATGAAATTCAAGAATTCGTAATTAATGTTAGATTCATAAATAATTATAATTTCTTTGTAAAAATAATTTAAAATCTATATTTTTGCAATTTTTACAATAATTTAATGAAATAAATTAAATCGTAATCCCTTAATATTATAGATTTAATCAGCAACGAAGTCAAAAGACAATTGAAACTTCGAACTTTATGGTTACCATTCATACTAGTTTCTATTATTAATTTACAAACTGCAGAAGCATACTGAATTTATGTTATTATATAGTTTACAACTTATATAATAACTTTTTATATTAATACTAACTTTTTTATTAACTTATTATATTAACACATATTTTTGACAACTTTGAAAAATATATTCAATATGTATTTAATTACTAGAAACTTTATTTCTGAACATAATATGAACTACTCACCAGATGATGAAATATTTCCTTGACGACATTGATTTGCTTTTATTTCCAAAGTTCGATTTTGGATATTAAGACTATTAGGATTGTTGAAGTCAATATCCTCCTGAAAAAAAGAAAGATTTTTAATAATCTTTCAATTTTCTTAATATTTTATATTTTAAATTACTTAGAAATTATTTAGAATTAGAAAAAAAATTTAAATAATTTAGTAATTATAAATTTATTATATAATTATATATAAACATCTGTTCATATCAAAATTAATATTTAAATGTTGTTCAAATATATAAAAATTTATTTTATTTCTTTAATTTTCAATAGAAGAATTTATCTTTTTTTTTTTTCTAATTTATCTTTCTACTAATTTTTTTATCGTTCTAAATAAAAAAAATAAACTGAAGATATATAATATAAATGAGGGTTAAAGTAACAAAAGTATTTTGGAATTTTGAATTATTTCTAGACGAAAAAGTCTACCGTTTGCTTATGCTGTAAATTTATGCTACACTCTATCTATTAATTTCTAAAATAAACCAGCAAATCCCCACTCTACTAACATTTTAAATCTGCCAGATCAATCCTATTTTCTCTTTCAATTATCATCCTGGTTTATAATAGTTGAATATGAACACAACAAGAAATACACCGAAAGTCAAAAACACGAAATTCAAATAAATTTAAAGACTAATGCAGTTTCTTTCATCTTTATGACTTTCATTGAGAATGCTAATATATATATATTTCTATTAATGTACATTCAAATCAATCATTCAAGTCAATCATCAGTAGCACAATAGATTATCTACTAAATTACAATTATCAATGATCAAATTTGTTTATAATAAAAACAAAATGAATGATTTTTTGGATTTTAGAGAGAAATTTAATATTCAATTAGATATAGATCACTGAACTTTGATTGAAATACAATAATGGAATAATTTTTTATAAATTTATATTTATATATTAAATATATGTTAAAAACAATTATTAAATAAAATAATGAAAAAATATTAATGAATTATTGTGAAATATAACAAATTATAGTAATAAAAAATCTCAAAATATTAGTTCTATTTTAAGTATCTGAACCACATTTTGAAAAATTGAATTTAAATTACCTCTAAATTACATTAATAGTTACCAAATGCTATTATATCAATGCATAGTACATTAATCTTATCTAATCTAGAACACATATTTTAAAAACATTAACAAATTATGATCGATTATGAAACTTATTATATTAAGAAATATCAATAATAATAAAGAGGAAATTTATAAATTATAGAAAATTAAATTATATTATTTTATTAAATACTGATGCAAAAATATACAAATTATCTTTTAAATAAGATTTTTTAATTCATTTTTTAGAAAACAAATTTATCCATAAATCTAAAAAAACATTTTTAAATCATAGCATATAAAGTTATTTTATTATTAATTAATTTATTAAAAATAAAATTTGTTGTATTTTTATTTTACACTTTATATTTTGATAATTCAGTTTATATCAAATTTTTTTCTAAATTAAATAAATTTTGAATTTCAATTTTATGATAATATAATTTATTACAAGGAGAAATTTACAAACTTACAAAGGAGAAATTCTATGAACTACAGAATTCATTCATACACAATTGTATTTTAACAGTGCATGTAAATGATTCTGAAATAATACATAATAGAATTTAAAAAACCTACTAGAAACTTATTAGAAGTTTATTATGGCCTAACAAAGTTAAATTATTCTCCAGATTAAATAATAGAAATGAACATTTTAGATTTATAGAAATATAGTTTTATAAGAAAACGATAAATATCAAAAAGATTTTCACAAGTAAATAGAAAAACTTTATCAGTTGCTTTCAATATAATTCCTTGCAATGTATAATTTTTCATACGATTGGAAAATCAATAAAAAATTTAGGAATTTTTTGCAATTGATATATTTTTCAAATATATCAAAATATTAGAATATTAATTTAACAAAGATTTCTTCTACTTCTGATTTTTTTCTCCATATTTTGTATTTTTATTCATTTCTTCGTTTCTCTTTTTAATTTTAATATAAAAAATTAAATTATTTGATTTATAAAAATATTTTTTAAGCGAATTCACGCAGATTGTCAATTTCTTCTGAGAAAATACAGAACATATATTGCAATGCTTTACATACCACTGGTATCTTGACCCTGTTTAGATCACAGGATAAAGTTCAAAATGGAATGTATAATACAATTCTGAACATTCCTTACATCGTTCGTGATAACTGTAATAGTACAATATATATATATCTGAAAATCTTGCCAACGAGGGACATTGGAATTCTTTAAATTCTCTCATAAAAATTTTAGATTTAAGATTTTTTTTTAAGTTTTTGAATAGTTTATATCAGTATGTGTAGAGAATCTTTAAAATTCGCAAGTTATAACATGATGTTATAAGAATATACGAAACTATATAAGCCAGAAATAGAATTTCCCAATTATTTTAAAATAAGAATCTATTATTAAATGAATATTTTTAACATAAATAATTTTTATGAAACATTTCAATTTAGTCCTATAAATATTTTACTTTCCATCTTCAATATTAGACAAATCTTTGCAGAATCATTTATTTATAAGCATAATGTTTAATAAAAATACAATAATGGAAAAAGAATTTATAAATGAAGTATTATGTTTATGCAACGTTGACCTTTGGATTTACGACATTTAGTCTAACGCCTACACTTGTAACAAATAAAATCACTTTCAACTTTGACTTTCATTCCAAATTATGAATAACAAAATGTAAGTTGTAGAGAACAATTCAATATACATATTACATCAGATTTAATGTTAATAAAATAGAATTAAGAAAAAAAAAATATTTTTTGAATTAAAAATAATTGTAATACATATGCAAACGAAAAAAATTTAATATCCAAAAAAAAAATATTAAAAAAAAATATATTTTCTGTAGATAAACAATATTCTTCCAGATCATAAAGAAATATTACATACAATATAAAAAAAAACATTGTTTAAACAATAAAGTTAACAAATAATTATTATATACAATAAATGTAAAAAAAATTCAAAATATATAATATATAATATTAATAAAACTTGAAATAACAGACAAATTTACACAAAAATTAAAATTTTTTTTTTTCAAAAACAAAATTATGTACAAAAAAATTTATATATCTCAGAAAAGAAACATATATACATTATTAATTTCATGCAATAAAAATTCAATAAAAGCTTTGGAGAATTTCAACATATAGTTTTATAATATCGGTAAAATAAAAAAGAAAAGAATTTATTATGTTTATAAATTAATTAATGTTAGATAAATTTTTAAAACAAATCGAAGATCATTATTCGTTATTATTTAAAAAAAAATGAATATATTCCTACAACAAAAGTTATTTATCGACATGTAGCATTTCATACTGACATACGAAGAAAGCGTGACCAATAAATAAATTAACATTTACTTTCTTTTATATGTTTCGTGACTTTCATTCGATGAAAAATTCTTGTATGTATAATATAATATACAAAATAATGATTTATAAACCCAAAAGAAAATTCATAAATACTTCAAGAATTTTTAATATCACGTTAATAGCATTATTTCATATAAAAAAAAATTTAATCCTATTTTTTTATGCAATTGGAGATAGTAAATAGTTTCATTTATACTACATATTTATTTAAATATCAATTATAACATTATTATATCGTTATTGATATGTCTGCATTATTTTTATTAATGAATAATGAAACGAAAATACTATTAAAAATACTTAACATGTTAATATTGTATGTTTTATTATTATTTTATTTTTTAAATATCAAGTTACGTTTATTATTTTTCAACATTATTGTGATTTATACAATATATTTATAGAGAATTTATGATATTAATGATCAATTATAAAAAAATTATTTACTTACATATGCATCCATTATATTTGTCCTAGTTTATTTCTTTCAACTGTGTACTATACTAATGATCGTTTCTGATTGTCCTGTAATGAATTACATTTCATTAATTAAGTATATTACGCTGTTAAAGTAAAAGTCAATATATCCATAATATTATAATAGATTGATCGGAAAGTTCTGTTGTATTTCCATTAAAGAAATTAGCTCCATTGCTTTATTCAACATTTATATTAATTAGTTTATATTCTATTGCTAGTTAATTATCAGATTTGTACATTCTACCACCATGAAATTTTGCAATTTCAAATAAATATATAAATATATATATATATATTCTCGATTATATGCGATTTAGATTATCTATGATGAGAAAAACCTAAAAAATTATATACAAAGTAAATCAAAATATAACTTCTCAGTCTAATTAATACGTATACAACAAAATCTTTCATAGAATATTTTTTATAATATTAATAAATAATAATATTTAAATAAATCTTAAATTATATGCAATTTTATATAATTTTTTTTATTATTTCAGAATTTCATTTTCAATTTCATTTATGTTCAATTTCAATTTAGGTAATTGAGAGAAAGATTTATTTGCAATTGCATATGAAATTAAGAAGTCTCATGTATGGATTTATGGAATTCCTCCTATGTTATTTCGATAGTAATTGAATTGAGTCTAACATAGAATCAATCAACGAAATCACAGTTTAGTAAACTATGACTGTAATGGAGCACAGACAAACCCCATAGTCACGCCTGTGTTTGTCATTTTATTAACTCTATTAGTGACCAAGGGCGGATCCACACCACCCTTAACAAGCGTTTCAATCCCCCTTCTGTCATCGAAATTATTACCTAACCATTGAAACCTTTTACTTAACCAATTTTCTCTTTAATCAATTTATAACTTAATTATTCATTCAATTACTTTTTGATCGGTCACATTATGATATTTAATTGGATGTAATAATGTATTTGATATTAGTATTATTATATAATAATATTATGTAGTATTATTATGTAGTAATATTATGTAATAATGTATTTATATAGTATTATTAAAAAATATAAAATTTTTTTGCCCATTAAAATATTGCGAATTAAAAAATATTTAAAAAAAAAATTTCTAATTTTTTACTTTTCAACAATACTTTTATTTTATCATTTTGCAGGAATGAATCAACTTTCCAAAAAATTTTCATTTTTAAAAATTTTTCATTTTTTCTTATCTAAATATAAAAAAAAATAATAACTGAATTTTGAAGAAAAATTTGCAATATTTATTGAGTTTAATTTTAGAGTATTAATATATTCTGATCTATAACTATTGTTATTAGATTATGATGAATATTATAATCAAATTATAATTGAATTAAAATCAATCAAATGAGGATATTTGGAAAAATATTCAATTCTTTATGATATTTAAAAAACTGGTGGAAAACTATGAATATAAAAACTTTAATCATTAATACAAAAATAAAATAAAATAAACATAAGAAAAAGAAACAAAATACAAAAAAATAAAGTAAAACACATACAAGTAAAAAATATATTAGTAAATTATATATTAGAAAAAAATCTGAGTAACATAAAAATTTCATAAATATTTCAAATATATTTGTATTGTATAATCCAAGAGTTACAATATTTTACTATTTAATAAATTGTAAAATCAAAAAAGAAAGAAAAATTATATCACAATGAAACATCATTTATAATAAACAAATTGACAAATCTTGACCATACTCAAAATATCAACAATAATCATTTATTGTTCTCAAAATATGGTACACATTTATGGTTCGTTTTCGTATACATATTCAGTTTGTTTTATTGATGAATCTACTTTCAATTCATGTTACTGAAAAGAATTCCAATCTTGTAATGACAAAAATACAAAACAATGACTGTTATTATTTATAAATAAAAATATGAAACATCAAAGACTTCGAAAATTGAGATTGAAATTGAAAACTGTCCTTATGATCTTATTTCTTTTTTCATTTGAAATGAAAAAAAAAAAGCTTCAAATAAAAAAAATAAAAAAAATAAAAAAATTAAATAAAAAGTAATTTCCATTCTATCATTAGATAGATAGAAAATAAAAATTTGAAGTTTAATGAAAATTTCTTATATTTCAATTATTTTGCAATTAATATATAATCGATTGCAAAACTTAATCCATCGTATTTCATATTTAAAGCAACATTTTTTTTTACACATTATATAATATAATAAAATTTAGAAAAGTAAGATTATCCCTCCTTTTAGATAATTAGATAGAAAGAAAGAAGGTAGCATAAATTAGATTCTTCGCGTATTATGATATGAAATGAAGAAATGTATAAGAAAAAGAATGAAATATTAGACTTAATTAATCGTGGAGGAAAACATAGTAGAAAAACAAAAAAAAAGCTTTCAGGAAGAATGTTATTTTCAGAATTTCTCATGAAAAATATATCATTTGAAAGATGCAAACATAATTATAAAAACTCTAAGTAATGGAAATGGAAGAAAAAGCATGATAACTAATTATTTAGAGAAATTATAGAATTTGACAACGACAATTGTAAAATTTATCATAATTGATTTTATAATTAAAAATTTTTATATTAAAAGTCAATATATCATAAGATAATTTATGTAAGTATTAATATCAGAAATACTTTTAAAATATATCTAGTTATTAAGACTAAAAGATATACTATATTTCTATAGTATATTATCTCAAAAGGATATTCTGGATCAACATTAATATATGTATATTTAGAAACGTTAAAATGAAATATCACGAATTTTTTACATATATTTCTATATTCTTTATAAAAACATTAAATTTAAATATCAGAGATATTTCTTCAAGTTTATCTTCCCAATTTACGATCCATTTTTATTGAGATTTTATAAATATGAAAATAAGAAGTTATTTTCTATTTTGATAATTATTTCAAAAAAGCATAGTAAAGATAAAGCAAATGCTAATCATGAATAAATCTCATCTTATCCTAACAGATTTGCAAACAATGGATTCCCGAAGCCACGGACACACTTGAGGGTTTTCATCGTGTGACAACCAGAAATGGGGTCATGCACGTGAATGCAATTGAACCAGAAGCTTGATAATATAATTGACGGTACTTTATCATAAGCTTAAACCTCGATTATAATAATTAATATTATTTTGTAACTAAAGTGAATCCAAATTCTTCATTTACAAAATATTTTTGTATTCTATTATTTCTTACTTTTTTTTTTTTTTTTTTTTTTTTTTTTTTTTGAAGTTAAATTATTCTATTCCTTATAAATCCATAAGAAAATATTGTTTTTGAAACCAATATATTAAAATATTTTAATATAATAGTTCATAAAATTGACAAATTGATATTTTTTTTGTTTATAAAATAAATTTGTTTATAAAAAAAATTAACAGATCATCTATTAAATATTTTTAAAATTATCTATATAAACAGATTCTCTTCTCAGAATCAGAGAATTCATGTCATCTGAATTTACTTTTATTGAAAATATATCAGGATGATAAGTCAAGCATAGTAGAAAATTGAATAAATTATTTTTTGTCAAAATTATCAAAATTAAATTTTATTTAAAAATACTTTATTTTTGCTTTTCTATTGTACATATATATATATCATTTATATAATTAAAAAATAGCTTTATTAATTATGTGCTAAAAATTGTTCTTGATAAAGAAACGTTTCAGTTCATAGTAAATATATTTACTAATTAATTTATCGATGAGAAATTATCCATATGATAATTCATGTTTATTAATTAGTTTTGTAACTACAGATTGATGAAACAATAGTTCTCTTTCATAGATTATTGTAAGCACAAAAATTTCTTATTCTTCTCATTATTATTTTAACAAAAAACAAAATTTTCTTAATAAATTCATAATTATCATTTTATACAACGATTTTTAATAACGAACTTTTAATAAAAAAATAAAAATAATTTGTGATAATGCATCGTTTCATATAATATTTTAATTCTATTTAATATAAAGAACATGTATCTTTTTAACTTAATTTTAAAGAATTTCAATTGAAATGCAAGAGAAAAATGTGTACAAATCAATATGCAAGGAGAAAAAAAAGTATAAAAGATCATACGTAAAAACGTCAACTATCAAAGTGATTCAAAACGAATATACTGTGAACTATACACGGAATAAGGTACTTTTTTACTGCAGTGCAAAGCATATGTTTTTTATCTTTCTTTTTTTTTTAGTACAACTTTGCTTTTCACTATTTTCATAGAAAAATATCTGATTTCCAGTTTTATTCTAGTATGTGTTAAAAACTCATGTATTTTTTAGAAAATTTTTTAATCTTTAATATAATATAATATTATATAATATAATATATAATATTTTATATTTTTTAATCTTTAATATAATAGAATATAATCTTATATTTTCAATGATTTTAATTTACAAGAACTTACTTTGGTTTTAAATATTTTTTGTTTTAATAATACAAAGATAAATAATATAAATGAAAGACTGAAATTAGTTCGAAAGAATATTAAAATATTAATAACAAAAATTTATTCCTATTAATATTTTAATTAATAACCATGACTTGATTATAAGATTACTCTAAAATTTCTACATATTTAATATTTTTTAAAAGGTTTAGAAAAAAAAAATAAAAAAAAGCTACTTATTTTTTCTGTATTATCATTGAAATAATGTGTAATAATTTATGAAATTATATATTATCTCGTTATTACATTAGAAATATTAAAAATCAAATGATTTACTTAAAAGAATTATAAAGAATTAAAATATTTTTAAATTAATATTCTTAATATTTTTAAATCAAAGTAATATTTTTAAACAGTAAGTAACATTATTCATATTATTATTTACAAATATAACAAAGTAATAAAAATAAAACTTTCTAATTTAAAATATTCTTTTTTACTTCTATATTATAAACCTGAAACCTATAAATTTCATTAACCTGAATTTCGAAATTCCTGTCTAAATAAAACTCCTCTAAGTAATGTTACGTTGCGTCATTTAGCTATCGAATAAGATATT